CCCGGGGCAGCCGCCCGGGCAGCCCGCGCCGTGGTCCCGCAGGTCGTCCATCTCGGCGCGCAGGCCCCGGTTCTCCACCTCCAGCTCCACGATGCGGCGGCTCAGCAGGTTGGCCTCCTCTTCCACCAGCTTCAGATGCACCTTCAGTTCCGTCTCCCGCGAGTGCGGGGCGTCCGCTAGCTCCTCGGCCGACAGGGCGGCGTCCAGGTCCCCGTAGAGCGAGCGGTACTTGAGCAGCTCTTCCTTCATGCTGTCGTTTTCCTTGGCCAGCTTGGTGAGCTTCTTGCACATGAGGGCCGACTCTTCCTTGGCGAAATGCAGCTGGCACTTCAGATCCGCACTGTCCTCCTGGAGCAGGGTGCACAGGGGGACAGACAGACAAGTTGGTGGGGCTCAGCACTAACCCTGTGCTGGGCTGACGCAGCTGAACCCTTGAGGGCCTTCTTATTACAGTTTCCCCACACCTGGGTGGTAAAACTCCCTGCCTCCATAGGAAAAGCACCTGGGACCTGGGCAGGCCATTACCATTAGCAGAAGAATACAATGGTATTCTGTGCCGGTCAGGCACAACAGGTAGCATTTGATTTTTTTTTTTTTTTGGCATGCTTGTATCTGATTCTTAAACTCACCAGAGGCATAAAGGAGGAAACTGAGGCCAGAAAGTTGAAGTGATTCACTACAATTATATGTCAATCAAACCTGGGGCTAATGATTTACACCTGCAATCCTAGCTACTCGGGAGACAGAGATCTGAGGATCATGGTTTGAAGCCAGCCCAGGTAGGAAAGTCCATCAGACTCTATTATTTCCAATTAACTATCATAAAGCCAAAAGTGGAGGTGTGGCTCTAGTGACAGAGGGTTAAACTTGGGCAAAAAATCTCAGGGATAGCATCCGAGCCCTCCTGAGTTTAAGCTCCAGCACCTACACATGTATGCATGTGAACACACACACACACACATACACTCACAGAGTCAGACAACAAAGCCAAGGTCACTGATTCCAGTCCTTTGGAATTATCACATAAGTTAGTATGTTGGTCTTGGAAGAGTCTGACTCATAGGCTACCCTCTTCTCAAGTGAAGTTAGTTTCAGACTGCTGCTGCCTCGGGAGCTATTGGGTAGTACCTGTGCTGAAGGCTTCTTGTCTGTCTTTCCCAGAGAACGGGTTCCTCTTTTCTTCAAGGAATGCTGCAGGGAGAGAAAAGTCTGAATTGAAATCTCACAAGGTAACACACATCCAAAAAGCAATCACAAGCCCCGGAGACACACTGAGCATCCTGAGGCCTGCTTGTCTACATCCAGACCTTCACCCTTAACCACTGCTGAGCCAGAGGGCCCTCAAAACCACCAAGTGGTATGCAAAGGAGGGAGACAGGCCAGAAGTACTAGAGGAGATGACTCTTGACTCCCCAAGTCCAGGGCTTTCCCCATGTCTGCCACACATTATGATCCAATTGGCCTGGACCAAGACCCGGAAATCTGAGTCCTCTGTTCTTGTTTGCCTTTCATTAGTCAGATACTTCCAGAGAGAACACAACAGTGACTAAACCACACAAGGTACCAGGGAGGATGCCATGTTGTCAGGTTTCATGGGAACTTGAATTCAGAATGGATACTAATGAGTAATGAATATGGATGCAAGAAACAAAATTTACATAAGAGACTCAAATAATCACAAGAGGCTGATGACAAGGATTTAAAAAATCCAGAAGCACTTGGGGGGGAGGGGGAAATGGAATCAATAGATTCAACTATACAAATGAATTCTATATGGAAAAAAATTAATAAAAATAAAGATATAAATAATAAACTAGAACAAATATTTGTAATTCATAACACTGATAAAGGCTTGATATCCTAAACATGTAAAGATATCCACAGATACTTAAAGGGCCAACAAACCTGTAAGAAAATGGGCTAGAGCTCTGGGAGTTCACAGGAAAAGTGAACGTGTCTTTGCCCTATGAAGACAATCAGCCCTGCTCCCAAGGGAGAAATTCCAATGATAACTGCATGGAGCCACCATTTGGCAAAAATCCAAACCATCTATCTGACAAGAGTTTGTTAGTAAAACCCTGGCAAAATCAGGATGCTCTTTTATTGCTGGCAAGAATGCAAATGGAGAAAGGTGGTTTGCAGCACATGTAATCCCATCTACTTGGGAGGCAAAGGCAGGAAGATTAAGGTCTGAAGCCAGCTCCAGGCTTTTAAAAAATAATATGAAGCTAGGTACCAATGGCTTATTATGCCTATCATCCTAGCTACTCAGGAAGGAGGCTGAGATCTGAGGATCATGTTTTGAAGCCAGCCCAGACAGAAAAGTCCCCATGAGACTCTTATCTCCAATTAACCACTCAAAAACCATAAGTGGAGCTGTGGCTTAAAGCGAGAGAGTGCTAGCCTTGAGCAAAAAAGCTCAGAGACAGCGCCCAAGTCCTGAATTCAAGCTAACAAAAAATAAAAATAATTATTATATGAGACTCAATTGAGAAAAATAGCTAAAGCTGAGCTAGATCAGGAACGAGGTCATTGAGTTGAAGTTCCAGTATCAACAACAAAAAAGGAATGCAAAATGGCACAACCCAACCCCTATGACAGGCAATATGAGGAAATGCTATAATAATCAGTACTACACTTCCTATTTTAAAAAAGTCATTCAATGAGATGCATGATTCCACTAAACACTTCCTCCCAAGAGAGGGGTGATTCATGTTGGCAGTGTATAAACCACACTTGGGTTGTTTTAACTTTTTATGTTGGGCGGGTACAGTTTCTAAAACTGTTTCCAGGTGATTTGGAACAACGCTCACTCCCAACCCTTATCTCTCACACTTTATCCCTGAAAGTGAGAGCCACTAATGTAACCTAAGTACCATTATACCGAAACCAAGTCAGGGACAAGAATCTGTTCAAGGTTTCACAGTAAATCCATAGCCAGCCTGGGATGGATGTGTTCTTGTCACAACTTGATCTCAAGTTCCAAACACTGTGCCAGGGTCCCAGGGGAGCTAGCACAATGGTTCTCAACCTACATGGACGTCAGAACCCCCTGGGGGGAGGGGAATTAAAAAATAACTGGTGTCCCCGGCACCACTCTCAAAAATTCTGATGTAATCGGTCTGCTGTCTCAGGTATTAAGATTAAAAAAAAATAAAAACTAAAAAACAAAATTTCCTTCATAATTATAAAACAGAGGTTGGGCCAGGGGAGGAGCTCTAAATGGTCTCTTTTTTTTCTTTTCTTTTTTTTTTTTTGCCAGTCATGGGGCCTGAACTCTAGGCCTAGGCACTGTCCCCTCAGCTCTTCAGCTCAAGGCTAGTGCTCTACCACTTGAGCCACAGCGCCACTTCCGGCTTTTTTCTGCTTATGTGGTGCTGAGGAATCGAACCCAGGGCCTCATGTATGCAAGGCAAGCACTCTACCACTGAGCCACCTTCCCAGCCCCTCTAAATGGTCTCTTAAGGGTATCTTAAAACCTGGTGCCAGTGGCTCATGCAGTTAATCCTAGCTACTGGGAGTATCGTGGTTTGAAGCCAGCTCAGGAAGGAAAAGCCATGAGACTCTCATTTCCAATTAACCACCAAAAAAAAAAAGCTAGAAGTGTATCTGTGGTTCAAGTGGCAGAGTGCTAGCCTTGAGGAAAAAAGCTCAAGGAAAGTGCCTATGCCCTGAGTTCAAACCCGACTGTCACACAAACAAATACAAGCAGAGCTGAGCACTGGTGGCTCACACCTATAATCCTAGCTCCTCAGGAGTATTTTAAAATATTAAGTGAATTTTAAAAGGACAGGCTGGGAAGGTGGCTCAGTGGTAGAGCGCTTGCCTTGCATGCATGAGGCCCTGGGTTCGATTCCTCAGCACCACATAAGCAAAAAGAAAAAAGCTGGAAGTGGCGCTGTGGCTCAAGTGGTAGAGCGCTAGCCTTGAGCTGAAGAGCTGAGGGACAGCACCCAGGTCCAGAGTTCAGGCTCCACGACCGAACAAAAAAAAAAAAAAAAAAAGGACAAACTTGGGCTGAAGTATAGTGCAGCATTTGCCTAACATGTAGAATGTGCAAGGCCCTGGGCTCAATTCTCACCTCCCCACCCCAGTATGATACTGAAACAGGGGAGCAAACTCTAGGATACATGAATTACATCTTGATAAAAATGTTACTAAAAAAATATCAATGGTAGTGGGCATGCCTGTGGTATAGAGCACCCGCCTAACATGGGTAAAGACTTAAATTCAAACCACAGTATTACCAAAAAGAAAATTATTTAAAGAAGAAAACAGCACAATACCGCTGTACAAAAATATGGTTTTTCCCCTCCACCATTTATTTCCTTTGCAGGGGGCATGTTGGGGATAGAACCCAAGGCTTCATGCATGCTAGGCAAGTGTTCTGCTACATTGAGCCACATCTCCAGCCCCAAATCTGTCACTGTAAAACATATGTGGAGCCAAGAAAGCCAATGTCCCTCTTCTTGTGCTCCTCCATTCTCTCCTCTACCCTTCTACTGGAGGCTCTCAGCCCTTGGGTGTTCTGGAGCTGTTTTTAGACCTTTGGCTCTGTGTTTAAAATTGAAATAGATGGTGCTGTTTTGGACTTTCCTTCCTTCCTATGCTTATTTGATTCTGTGATCTTGATTTTTATAATAAGCACCTTAGGCAAAAGAAAACCCTAAAGTAACCAGCATTTTAAAGTTTATATCCATGTAATATGATCCTGTACATTACCAAGACAGTGTAAACAATATAATCCCTTGTGTGTTTTAAATGTGTGTGTGTTTTAATACAGAGAAATGTGCACTATTAAGCAAAGAGAAGGATCCGGAAAGATACAAAATACACTGTTAATTCTGTACCAGGCTGAGGAAAAAATACAGAGGCGGTTACAGTGGTTGTATATGGGTTTTTATATTAGTTCTATTACTTCTAAACAGATGCCACATGCACAGGATCCAAAATGCAATGGAAGGTGGGGGTGTGGACAAAAACCAGTTCCCAGTTCTCCCACCCCAAGTCAGCCATCAAAACCAGAACTTGTTCTAGCTTTCTGTAGAGGTATGCTTGGCATGTGTTTATGTGCCTTTTTTTTTTTTTTTTTTTTACCAGTCCTGGGGCTTGAACTCAGGGCCTGGGCGCTGTCCCTGAGCTTCTTTTGCTTGCTCAGGGCTAGCACTCTACCACTTGAGCCACAGCGCCACTTTTAGCTTCTTCTGTTTATGAACCCAGTGCTTCCAGTTTTTTCTGTTTATGAACTCAGGGCTTCATGCATGCTAAAGCACTCTACTACTAAGCCACATTCCCAGCCCCATATATAGGCTTTTGTAATGACTTTTTTTTTTTGCTTCACTAAGTATTACTTTGTTTTAGATTACAACCTCCCCACATACATATACTTTAAAACAGTATACAGAGAAAAACTTATTGGAAGTATATATTCCCACCCAAATAAAAATTCCCTCTGGGTACCGGATTGCAGGTATGTTTTTCTTCCTTATGGCTGGTTGTCTTCTACTTTTCCCTGATACAAATGCATCACTTGTTACCTGCTCTGGGGTGGGGGGGTAGGTAATGAAAAAGCCATGACATGTTTTTCAAATGAATTTCCCCTAAGAAGTCACCAAATGCCTTCCTAGCAACAGAAGGAAGGTACAAGAAAGCTAAAACCACCTAGAGAGGAAAAAGGAGGTGGCAGGCAGAGAAGGCTACATCAGCACCTCTTAGGACTAGAGTGGTTTCAGCCATTCCACATCATGTGGAGACCACTGGGGCTCCAGCACTACCCTTCAGTTCAGGAGGGAAAACAAGGCAGGCTCAGAGCATAAGCCTTCCCTTCCTTGTGCAGGGTAGCAGCTGGTCAGGGAGCTGGGGGGCTGCCATGCCCCTCAAGGGAGTGACAGCCTGTCAGAGCAACCCCTTTGTGGAGCCCTAAGGGGTGGAGCCAGTTCTGGCCCAAGAGCAGATGTTCTGGCCCTGAGCCCCTGGAGGGCAGACCAGGACAACCAGAGGGAAGGAATGCATCTAGGGAAGGACCCAGCCAAGGACACTCTCTCTGACCTGGCAGGCAGCAGCCATTCACCAGACCACATAGATCAGCTCAGGTGGTACCTCTGGGCATCCCTCCTTCAACTACTCCCAATAGGGGCTGAAGTGCTGTTCCCAGACACCTTCTCTGTAGCCTAGGCCAGAGCTGCTTGAGC